GTCACCTCGTCATAAAAGGAGATAAGATTATGAAGAGTGAGTCTGTGTTGCCCTTGCCTGATGTTACCTTCTCGTAATGGGACTGGGTTGTTGGGAGAATTCAGGGCTGGAGTCTGCTCATGTTTCACCTCCACAGGCACCTTTTCCCACATCTCTTGCCTGTTCTCAGACATTGGCTCTTGCTCCTCCTCCCAAAGCCTTCCCCGGGCTGCCATCTTTTAGACATCAATCCACATCACCTCCACCATCACAGCGGGGACAGGGTTAGGACACCAGAGAAGCTATGGGAGACTGCCCTGCCTGCAAGGGCGACGCAGCCAAGGAACGATCTGGGCAGTCCCAGTGCTGAGCCTGGCTCTCACCCACCACAGAGGCAGGGAAAAGAAAAAGAGCAGGAGGAAAACCAGCCATCTGTTGTGCAGGAGGAAAGGGGTCCTCCTCCAGAGGCAGATCCCACCAGCAAGACGGAGATGTGGATCAAGAGTTTGCAAATGTTGAGATCCCCAGACCTGGTTTAAGCCTCTCTCTGGTCTTGATCAAAGGTTACTCTGTAATAATGCCTCAGGGGGAGGGGTTCCCAGCACATAATGAATCCTGTGTCATTGCCTTTGTATCCAGTTTTGGCTGTAACACAGATGGTTCTCACTTCAGTAACTCTGACATCTCTCCCCCCTTCATTATCACAGCTAGGAGCTCTGCATGGTCACATCCTGGACCTCCATGCCCCACCTCACTGTCTCCCCGATTATCATGCTCCGACTGTTCCCGTGCCAAGCAAGATGATGAACAGATTTCCATAACCTTTCAGCAGGGCCAGGGATGGGAAGGCTTTCCAGCTTGACGCATCAAGGAGTTTTATTAGGAGGCGCGGGGGAGGGAGCACGCAGGGGTGTCAGCAAACGGTCTCCACAGCCAGAGCTCGGGGCTGTTAGAGGGACACCAGCAACCAGGAGTGGAGACATTTGGTGGTGAGCAGACACCAGGGACCTCCCCAGACAGGAAATCCCAGGCTCTGCAATTGTACAGCATCTCCACTGGTCATGAGCATGTGCCTGCAGCAGGATTTGTTGTTCAGACACACTTGCATATGTATGAAGGGGACAAGATGGGCTTTGACACATAAATTAGCACTTGTCAGCTGCTCACGGGCACACTTCCCTGCTGCACCCCACTGTAAATGCTGCCTTCTTTTATGGAGGAAAACTACATCACAGTACCTGACAGGCACCCTGGGCCTGGAGAGGCAGCAATGAGCAGGCAGCGACTGGTTTACATATCAAACCTTACGAGGATGAATGCAGTAAAATGACACAATAATTAGCAGCCAAGTGGCACTTTCCACTCCTGTTTTATCTGGAAATTTGGGAATGACAAAGGACAAGGTTGATGAAACCTCAGGGCAGGGCTTTCTCCACGAGATTGGGTGACTCTATGTGACAGCCATGGGGGTTCCTTTCACAGCAGCCAGGTGTTTTCTAGCTGTGACCTCCTGTGGCACAGCTCGTCCTGCTTCTGGGGCCATGTTGGCAGCGGCAATAGCTGCTCTCTGTGCTGGCCACGGCATGTGCCTCATCCTGCCTGAAGCTCCCCGAGGGAACAACCATTTCCAGATTTTGACTTGCCAGCATCATAGCCCACCTCCACCTCACCAGTGCTGCCTATGAAGTCAACCTCACGTGAACGTGCGTGCTGGCCAACACACACACACATCTCTGCAGCAATGCAGGAACACATGGAGCTGTACATCCACAAAAGAAAACAGAGCAGTTCTCTGAACAGCCCTAAAACCCTTCCAGCAAACATCCAGATACACGAACAAAAGTATCTCTGCCGCAGCCATCTCAAAATGTACCAGAATTACACATTTTTTTCGTAATTCAGTCTTCTAGGAGCATTTCTAGCATGTTGTTTTGTGCAAATGAGAACAGCTGGACATGCTGCTAGCCCGTGGGAAGTTCAATTATTCACATTCCTGCAGAATCCACATACCCCAAAATTCAGCTTAAGCTCTAGGGTACTCTCAAAGCTCCAACATTTGCTTAATTTCAGCTCAAATCAAATATGCCTCCTGCCTAGAAAGACAAGAGTGCTTCATTGAAGCACTGGATTCACCCAAACTTGAGCCCAGAGTTCAAGGGGAAAGAACATTCCCAGTCACCACCCCGAGTATCACTTATGAGTTACAGCAGACATATTGTGAACTCATTCATGGAGCAGAGAAAGATTTTTCTATTCAAGCACCATTATTCACCAATAAATTGGGGCATGACGCTACTGTGGAAACTGCTGGCTGCTGGACACCAGGCTGACAGCTTGCTCCAACACAACAAAACCCATGTAGCCTGGAAAGGGTTTTTTTGCTTTTATCCTGTTTTTTATTGCTGCTCTTATTTTTCTGCCAAGAGGTTCTCAGCCCAACATACAGGATTAAAGCCCTTGACCTGGTATCTGGGTGACCTCAGTAATTATTCTTACCATATTTATCTCCATCTTCTCCTTTGGCACTGATCCTCCTGCCGAGCACTTGGATGTGTTTCCCGCTTGTCCTGCTGTAGAGCTGATAGAGCCGGAGCTGCTTCCTGCTCACGTCATCCCTCGCTCGCGTCTGGTTCTCCACATGTATCCGAAAATCTACATTCTCCTCAGCAGCAAACATCTGAAAGCAGATAGGAAGGGGAGAGAGAACAGAGGAGATCATGAAACAAAAATAAGCATCTTGAACAAAAACACTGCACATCAACCTGGCGCAAGAGGATGCGGATTTGGCTGCCTTTCACTTGACAGCTGCGGCCGCGGTATCAGGCACTCAACGTGTAATTCTACCCAGAGCTGGCTGTCGACAGTAAACCAAACCTGGGTTTTTACAATCAAATTGGGTGGAGGGTAGGTTGAGTAAAAACTTCTGCTTGGTCCTGCTTTGATTTAATCCTGGTCAGCCACAGTGGCCATAAATTAGGTTCTCCTTTGCATATGTACAGTCTCAACTAGGTTACGCAGACATGTATGGGAGAAAGGGGATGGACAACTCAATTTCAGAGTTTGTGCTTCACCTTCAGCAGCTGCATTGATTCCCCAGATTAAGTGCAGGGAAGAAGTCAAGTGAAAAGCCTATCTATGCTCTGTTAGCAGACTGGACTCTAGCAATGCACAGGCATAAAATCTACTAAGATAAAAGCGTTGCTTTCGTCACCCTCACTCTTCTGTCAGCTCATTGGTGACTGTCTATGTATGCATCTCTGTGAGCTACTAAGATAAAAGTGTTGCTTTCTTCAGCCTCACTCTTCTGTCAGCTCATTGGTGACTGTCTATGTATGCATCTCTGTGAGCCTCAACAGAGACACAGCTTGGGGAGGGATCACGAGGACCAGCAAGAGCCAAGCCAGCACATCCAGCCAGGAGGCCACTACCAGCAGGGGTCTGATTGCTTCAGCCAGTTCATCTGTTTCTTCTGGCCAATGGATTAAATTAACCTTAGTTCACTATAGTCTTAAAATATTACCAGAAACTTTCTCTGTCACATCTGCCCTTCTCTGGAGATCTTGTTTCCTATCTTAACTTACGGTTTCCAAGAAACACTGAAACAGGATTCCTGCTTTTGTGTCCAGAGCGTCATCCTGCCTTACCCAAGGTCAGAGGACCACACACCCAAGATGTTCTCAAGATGCCCTCTGGAAGAGGAGGCTGGGCAGCATCACCCAAAAGCACTTCATACCCAAACAACATGAAAGCCCAGAAATCACTCCACAATCTGTCTCTGAGAGCATCTGCACCACGACATTTAGTGGGCATGGTGGTGCTGGGTTGACAGTTGGACTTGATGATCTTGGAGGTCTCTTCCAACCTTAATGATTCAATGATTCTGTGATCTGCACTGCCCACTCCAAACTCATAGAAGTACAATATTTTGGTGGCACACTCCCTTCACAGGGAGTTTCAGGGAGTTTTAGGTTTCAGAAACCTAAAGTAAAGGATGTTTGAGTGGCACACACATAAAACTACCACACAATAGGCAATTATTAATTTGATCAAGACAAAGATTATTCATATTCTACTCACTGCTGGTGAGCTCTAATGCTGCACACCTCTTGCATGTAAGAGACAAAATCCACCACAAAATAAGAATCATATGGAAATTTAATGATGCCTATAAGAATCACATGGGAATTCAACGATAGCCTAGGTTTGGGGCTGGCAGAGGAACATTTACTCCTAGCAGAGTTACTACTTCTTCTCCTAGCACATTCCT